ATGATGTTTTCCTAAATATTATGGTGATGGTTTTGGTGGGATAGTGTTTGGTTACCTGCTTCCAATTTCAAATGGCTGCTGTAGAAAGCTGACTACTCACAATGATAAATGCTACGTTAAGAATTTATAGATTACAGTTTACTCATGAGCAGTCACTGAACTTGATTCCATCTGTCTATAATAGGACTTCAATTTTAAGCTGTTTGAAACTGAATTACTGAGACCATGTTGTCTACAGAAATGAACACATCTTAAAATGTTTATTTCACAAAGCACTATTTCTTACCTGCTATTGAACAGTTAAATAATTTTGAAGGCTTCAATGCATATATGACTGACCTAGGTTATAAACTGGTGTAAGTAATGGGAATTCACTAGATGTTGATACTGTCCTGGTTTCAGTGGGGACACAGCTAATTTTTCTTCTTGGTAGCTAGAGTGGTGCTGTGCTTTGGTTTCAGTAGGGGATTTGGTATGAGAAGAATGCTGATAACACACTGATGTTTTCAGCTGTTGCTGAGAGATCATGGACTCCAACTCCCCATGTCCTGCCCATGCTCAGGTGTACAAGGAACTGGGTGGGGAGCACGGCCAGAGCACTGGATGCAAACTGTCCAATGGAATATTACATATGGTGTAACATCATGCTCAGTATGTAGAGGAGGGTCAGCCGGGAAGGAGGGGGTTCTCTCTTGCTTCTGGGATTGTGTTTTGGGGATCCTGGCTTTTTCCAGGATTGCTAGCCAGGAATGGACTGGGTATCAGTCAGCGGGTGGTGAGCAATCACATTGTGCATTACCCCCTTGTACTTTCTATTATTGTTTTATTTTATTTCAAGTATTAAACTGTTTTGTATCTCAATATAGAAGTCTCCCTTAACCCCTTCATTTTGCCCCCATCCTCAAGCAGGAGAAGGTGAGCAAGCGGCTGCCTGGTGTTTGGCTGCTGGCCGGATTTAAACCATGACAGATATATACTGAGCTCACTTGAAGAAGTGCAAAATTTCATATTGATAGAACTCTTCTTTACTAGTAAGCTACAAAAATGAATTTAGGATGGCATTAAATTTGAAAAGCTACCTAGTTTGACTGCAAGAATACAGTTTTTCAGCTCCTTTTTCTGATTCTAAGTTGTCCACCCACTCTCTGGAATGCACCAAAATGGTGGCTCAGACTAAACATCTTCGAAACGCCATTTAATGAAGCTTCTTTTGAGCTTCTAGTTCAAGTGTCATTAGCAATTGACTATGAACAGTCTTTTCTGCTTGTTGTTCTGTGTTCAGATTTACCCTGGATATAGAGAGCTTTATACAGAGTAATGCTCCTATGAAAATACATAGAATGCAGAAAGTCCATAAGCTTTCTTAAGTTGGAAGATTGGTATGTCTCTGGACATATCAGGTATCAAATTTCCATGGCAACAATCTTTGCAGGAACAGCTAGCACAAGTTCTAAATGGGACTAAGGAAGGACTCTGAACTTGCAGTCACTAGGAGTTCAAATAGTGAGTATTTTCACACTATTTTAACAAATTAAGCTCTCATAGTCAGAAAGAAGCAAAAAACAGAACCAGAAAAGTGAACAGATTGCACATTGTTGGGGTAAAAGGTGAATACTTGTTTTGTCAATTATTAGGCTTAGCATAAAGGACCCAGCCAGCATAAAGATGAACCAATAACCAAATTGTATTTGATACAAAAGGGTCGGTACATGGGTGAGCGCTGGGGGTACAAACAAGTCAGTCAGATTATACATAATCGACAACAATCCCATTGACCCCAACAACAACACTGCACAACCAACAATGGGTGGAATGAATGGTGAAATGCAGTCTCCCATAGAAGGGACAGGAGTCAACAAACCAAACACATAAGACAAAGGAAGTGTTTCTTCACTGTTGTGGTCTTTTTCATTGGAAGATCAGTGTGACTGTGGATCTGAAGCTGATGTCATCTGCTCAGCACAGTTCTCCACATGGGATTGTCAGTCCTCCCACACCCAATGTACCGCAGCTTGGCCAATATTTCAGTATGGATTACAGTACCTATTGTCTCTCTAAGGGTACAGGTCAGAATACTGCTGCCATTTGTGGTTCTTCCCCAGAACAACCGAACTGCCCCCGGAGGGCCCACCGTGAGCAAAGGCAGGATCCCACTGAGGATCCAGAGGGGATGCTGTAGGCTGAACAGTTTCTGACCAGTGTGCTTGATAATTCTGCACTTTTCTATGGGGTTTCTGTAACCCTCTTGGTTTGTACAACCTCCATAATTCACTGGTGTCAAGACCACCAATTTCAGTGAGAGGTACGCCATCTTTCAATAAAGCTTTAAACAACTGTCCTCAAGACAGCCAACGTCCGGTATTTCTACCACATTGGGTGTCTTGGTTCTGTGTATACCCCCAGGGGCCCTGTTGATGCCAGAATTCTCAATAGCCCTGACGCTCCCAGGGAGTCCATTCTCCAAGGTCACCTAGCTGATGCATTTTCTCAAGTACATCTCTAATGTGATTTCCTGTTTCACTCAATAAGAGAGTTACAAGAACATTCTGACAAGCCAGTGGAGCAGTTCTAATGATTGCATTTCTCATAGTCACAGACAATCGAAGTTGCATCAACACATCCACATGGCCTACATGAAGGGACAGTTTCATTCCTTCAATCACTGTATACCATCCCGCAGAGTATACCATGGCCGGTCAGACAGAACCTGGCCAGGAATTCTCTAGGGAGTATTTTGCCTTGCACCCCACAGCAGCTAAAGCCAAAAGATTACTACTGTCATCATTAGACCGAGAGGCTTCCTGCACCAGAGGGTCTGAACTCAGAGTTACAAACTTTCTGCAGTCAAAATTATCCAGGCTAACCCCTGATGCTCCTTGATCATATATACCATTCAAGCAAGCAGTGGCTCTCCTGGTGTCTGACTGAACCATGCAAGAATATCACCAATTTCTTGCTGTGTAAAACCTCCCATGGTAGGTCTATTTACTGGTGGCTTACCCTCAGAAAATTCCACCTTCCTCCTGATGACTGGTCTCACATCTGCAGAGTCATCTGAGGCACCAGCCCCATCAGACTCCGCAGGGTACCAGATATCATCAGCTGAGTCATGAGGGTTATGGTGTACATCCACCTGTATAAACTCTGAGTGGACCTTCTGATGACTACATTGTCCCCGTCTCTTACCATGTTTACACTGGGCAACCTGTGCTGTATCCTTCTTGGGTACGGTTTGAGAAGTGTCTAGCTTATCAGTAAGGAGCTTGTTTACAGATTCTAATATCATAAACTGAGCTCACATATGGGAATATTCAGACAGTAAGTGATCTTTTTGCTGGTGCTGTTTCTTATATGCTGTTAGCAGGATCCATCCCTGTCTCCCAAAGGTTACAGCATCCTGTGCCTTACCGGAGAATTTTTGAATATTTTCTAATACATCCTGCAGTTCAGCCTCCGCCAACCGCTTCTCCCACTGGTCACATGGTCCCCCAAATTTAATCCATTCGAGGGCCAGCGAACTATACACAGGATCTTCCCAACCAGGAACTTCAGACAGGGCCATTCTCATCGCCAATTTTGTTTTGCCAATTATTAGGCTTAGCATAAAGGACCCAGCCAGCATAAAGATGAACCAATAACCAAATTGTATTTGACAAAAGGGTCGGTACATGGGTGAGCGCTGGGGGTACAAACAAGTCAGATTATACATAAATGACAACAATCCCATTGACCCCAACAATGACACTGCACAACCAACAATGGGTGGAATAAATGGTGAAATGCAGTCTCCCATAGAAGGGACAGGAGTCAACTGAGTGAATAAACCAAACACATAAGACAAAGGAAGCCACACACTGAATCTCTACACAGCCTGCATTTACAAAAGCCAGACCTGACTGGAGCCCAGTTCCAGGGAGGCAGGAGGTCCTTCCCCAACAGGGAACTCTGCAAAGTACATCTACCTCACAGATAGACACTGCCCCTTCCTGTAAGGGGTCCCAGACTTTATCCCTAAGTGGGCACCTGACCTTTGCTTACTTAATGTGGGACACCTGGGGCTCATTTACCAATGGCTCTCCTTGCCAGGCTGGCTGCACCCTGGAGGGAAGCCTAAAGGGAAACTTATCCCCCTTTTGGGAAGGGCTGTGGGAATCACCCATGTGTTAACCTTAATATGGTGCTTGGGGTTGAAACCCAGCATTCCAATACTGCATCACAGCTGACACAGCTTTTAATAAGCAATTCAATGGAGGAAAATTGTAGTAGAATTAAACAGAAGAAATTGCTAAAAATTATTCAGATTAAAAGATTCTATGCACTGAAAGTAGACCTTCAGTAGAAAGGCCAACTTAGAGAAAAATAGGGTAAATTTCAGTCTTAATATGGTATTATGGCTACCATGCACCACAGTGAAAAAGTTAACATGTAACTTCACCCATGTCCTTCTTTCTCCCTTTAATAAACTATGATTTTCCAAAGTCCATTTCTCATCAGTATAATCTCACATTTTTAACCACAGTAAGAAGTCTTCAGCCTCTATGACAAACATCCCAGCTGTCTATGAAGATCCCTAACATACACTGAAGACAAGATGATAAAGTGTTTAAAGGTGCACAGAGAGCAAATCCCAGCTGAAGAAGTGCATCACTAGCTGCTATTGCCTTAAGATATCAGCAATATCCTTTTTCTGATATACAGTTAACTGCTTCACAGATCTCAGAAAATTTCTAAGCTGCAATCAAATGTAGGACAGGGGAGAGCCATGGCGGGCAGCGCCGGCCTGAGCGCTTCCCCCACCGAGCCTCCGCCTCGGCCTTTTGGGGCCTCCTGCCGCGGGGCCGCGCCTCGGGCGCCGCGGCCCTGCCGGCGTATCCTGGCCGTCCCGGAAGAGCCGGGTTGTTTTGGGGTTGTTTTGTGAAAGCCGGAGGCCTTTGCTTCTCAGGGTTTTCCACCGCCTTCGGTGTGTCTTGATTTGTCAGGGAGAGAGACCGGAGCGGCTTTGTGACTATGGCTGGATGCACAAATTTCAAAGCTGCAGCAGAAGTGAGACGGTACAAAAGTTTCGCTTAAGAATAGTCCGTCCCGTGTGTTTAAAAAGGTGACGGCCTGCGCCAGAGATTAGAAGGCCGGTTAGGCTGGAGCAGGCTGAAGCTTTGGAGTTGTCTTTTGAGCAAAATACAAATTAGTTCTCTGAGGTGAAGTAACTCTCCCAGTTGTTTTGGTGTGTAAAAGTCTGTTACAAACTGTCTATGTTACAGAGACAGCATGTTTATTCTCTTAACTAAATTGTATGAAGTTTGCTGTTTATCTCCTAAGTGAGAGTCTTTTTAAAGCCATCCTCCTCTCATTGTCCCAAAATAGAAGAGAGGAATACAGATGTGTTCACTTGTTGTTAGTATGTCAACTTATTTGAGGAATTCCACCAAACAGTAGGTAAAGAAAGGCATACAGTTCAGTGTGATCGTTATTTGGACTCCCACAGAGAAATGCTTTTGATTTTGTAGTTACTGGTGTGATATCTTTTTATTAGGCTTCACTTTTGTTGCCCTTCCTCCCAAGGTTTGAGATGGACTATACCATAGCAAAAATATTCTGTGTTGCATTCCACTGCAATGCCATTTTTACTTTAGACTAAATTCCAGATAACCTTAGCTACCACCTTCATTAATTTTTACAGGTTCTTTGTGTCACTTTGCAAAGACTGGAATAGAGCATAGTCTTGAGGTCACTCCTAGATGTGACTGTCTCTGCCTTTTGAGGAAAGGCGAGACTTTTCTCCCTGAGTCGACTTCGCTCTGCCATTCCTCGCCTGGGCTGCTAGGTGGAAATAACTTTCTTGGCAGGGTAACTTTCCACCGAGCCTAGAGCCACTGCATCCCTTTTGATAATTAACTAGAAGATCTGTAAAGCAGAATTTAATATAGAACCAGAGTTTTGGGTCTTCAGACCCCAGATACAGCTGATACTCCTGGAGATTATGTAAACTGGAAGAAAAATAATTCTCTTGCAGAGAGGTAAAATTAATTTTAGGTTTGGAGCTAAGCTTCAAGTTGGTATTACATGGTTGGAGAATCAGCTGCTTCAGCAAACCTCTGCTGGCCTAACATTCCTTCCACTGTAGTAGCTCTCCTGTGAGTTACAATGAGCCCAGGCTTTCTCTAGACAGTGTTGCCTAAGGTAGCTTGAAGGTTGACCAAAGTGCTGCAAGGAGAAAGAAGTCAAAAGCAAGTTCAAGGTAGTCTAATGCTTCTTCCATGCTGTGGGTTCTCTGCCCTGGGAGCTGTGACTGTTTTGCACTGCTGTCATTTCTGACAGCATGGCCATTAGTAAAAGCCTGCTTTGTCACTGAACTGTGCAGCAGAAGCATATATTGATTCCACTGCAGCAGCAGGAGTAGGAGCCCAAGAGCAAATCTGAAAGCAACCTCAGTAGATCCATGCTGCCATGAATAGACCAAGCTCTGTACTGCCACAGATCAGGTATGCTGCTTTCTGGTACAGGAACAGTCTGTTACAGTGCTGGATCTGTGCATTCATAAGGACCATAAAGCATTGCAGTTCCAAAATATCTTTTATGTCATGTAGCTGGTATCTCCAGTATTGCACTGTTTTCCTCAGTCCCAACAACTTTTACTTTGCCAGACATAAAACTTAAGGCATATAAACATTCCCATTTGAATAGTCTCAATCTTAAATCATAGGACACTAATAAGGATCATATCAAAGGAAAACTAGCAAAGTTACTGAAGGAACCTCTCTTTTTTTTTTTTTATTTAAAAGAAAAAGGCACTGTTTTGATCCTGACTTCTGTTAATATAGTAATCTTCCCTGTTTACTGAATGCATACATGAACAATGTTAAAGGTGGTCTCTTGTTGACTTTGAGCTTTATGATTGCTTCTGTTGCACACTTCTTGCACGATTCTTAAGATAAAAAATTATCCTAAAATCTATATAGTTTTCAGGATTTTCATGAGCAATCTGAACGTTTGTGATAAATAAGCAACATGAGTAACATGGGAACAGACCATCAGTACTACTGCAAATGATCTAGGTCTTCCCTAATGCTTGAGTATATTCACAGTTGGAGTTTGTGGATTTTTACTGGTATTTGCCATTTGCGCTACTCCTCGTGCTCCACAGGGGGGTAGCAAAAGGAAATAGGAGATCTGTTAAAACTACCAGTGTATCAGAGTTTACACCGTCTGGTGTGAAGAGCTTTCTCAGAAGTGTGTGTGATGTGTAATGAAGACCGCAGAATCTCTGCTAATTGACACAAAATGCTTGATAAGCCAACTAATAACAGTGGTTGAATACAGAGGTGTCTATGCATGTGAAAGCCTAGAAAAAGCTAGAGACAGTTGAGTGTGTGTTGTGGAAGGAGAGTATTGTACATTGAGGTCTGCAGGTTTCACTTGAGAAATTTTCTGTCTTTAAAAACAAGAAAAAATACTGGAACCATGCAGTAATAAGTCCACCAGAATTTTTGTTTTGTTTTGTTTTCTTCCAAGACAAGCAACTCATCCATGGTATGAGAAAAGTAACAACATTTTCTCTGTGTGATAAACAGTGACACTACTTCTAAATACCATTACTAAGCTTGAGGTTGTGAAGGGCTTGACAGTACCCATTCTATCCAAAGAGCTGGAAGTGTTCTGAACTCAAGACAAAATTTGACTTGATGAAAATGGAATTATCCCTAGAAGGACAAAAACGGGATACTTTCTAATGATGAACAAGAAGACTCAGATTCATTTTTCTTTAGCTGGAATATGAAATCAGGTGAGTTTAGACTTAGTGAGAATACGTGTTTCAAATTACCTTTTTTTCTTTCCCCTTTTTTACAAAAGAACTAGAACAGATGAGCAAGAACAAGAAATCAGTGATTACCAAAGCATGTCATATAGGTGCTTTGTGAGTCACTTCATGCTTTTTTACTGCAAATTGTATCAAAACATAACATAGAACTTTTAGCCTGATTTCCTAAGGAAATAAAATACATTTTATCTAAGTGGCCCTTTGCTCTGCCATCTTTTTTCCCTTCCCCTTATGCTTTGAAACTGTTAACGAATTTCATAAAAATTTGACACTTGAAAAGACTTTAAAAAAAAGTAGGAGGATCAAGAGTCTGTTAAGTTTCTACTTAGGGAAAGATTGTGAGTGAAACCAGACAGTAGTGTGTCCACACAGGATGAAATTAGTGACCCAGCTGCAGGCAGAGTTTGTATGAGCACTTACACCTTCTTAGGTACCAGACAATCTGTTTGTAATACGTGAAGAAGCTCGGCAGTGCTTGCAGCAGGTGAAATAGTCAGCAAATTCTTTTTATTTCACCTGTGAAGATGGTGTTCGGCTGTCCCCCTTTTCAGAAGCTGTACAGAGACAATTTACAGAAATGGGAAAGGTCTTAGATCTTGTCAAGTCAACACACAAACCTTCTATTAATATTTTGTAAAAAGGTTTTAATTATTTTGTATGTATAATACTATGTACTATATAATAATGCCTGGTATTCCGGATGGCTGTTATGTATTGGGCTGTTTTCCCCCGTGTAAACAAGAAGCCTTTCTTGCAATATGCTTTATACAGGTGTTTCTCACTCATTAGAGTCATTCCCAAGTAACACCCTTCATTTTTGTATTGGGAATAAATGATGAATTAGCACATCTTTCTGCATTTTCAATAGCTTTTTTCATTTGGTATCTTTTAAAAGGAGAATCATAATGCAAGAAATGGGCAAGTTAAATACAGTTGTTTGAAGTCAGTCATTTGAAATTTCCTTTCTGTGAAACTCTGCTGGGTATATTATGTTTTGTTAATCTGTGGTCTAATCCCTTCTCAAGCAGAAAATAAATTTTGTAGCTGCCTAGTTCATTTTTCAGACGTGCTGTTGAAAGGAGTGTAATCTCAAGAAGACTAATATGTAGTTTTCTGTGTAAGATCGGAATTATTGGTGGAACTGGCCTGGATGATCCGGATATCTTAGAAGGAAGAACAGAAAAATATGTTGATACTCCCTATGGCAAGGTGTGTATAACCTATTCTTTTTTATTACTGAGATTTTTTGCTGTTTTTAAAGATGTCTGTATGCTTTAAGAATTTTCAGACTGTTAAATGAATGCATAAAGGAGGTACTACTGTCACAAGACTGTTTCCCTTTAGTTGCTATATATTCTATGATTCTTATTTTGTAGAAACAAGGTGTTAAAAAGATGATATGCAAAGGAGACCATACCTCTTTTCATTTGTAGATTGGATGAATTTACAAACTGAGTCTCTTGAATTTGCAGTCAAGAGCGATAAACCCTGTCTTTCAAATTTGTGCTGTTGTGTGATCTGTAGTGTATGTCACATTGCTCCAGGAACCTTTGTGAACTGCAGAAAACTCCTTTGAGGTATATGGGCCACCCTCTTCCCTGTACCCACTGAATTATGTTTTACATACCAGTGCTCTCCTTACAGTCATGATTATAACCACAAAATTAAGCTCTGAAACTGTTTTTGTGGCACAGGTATTCTTGTCCAATTCTCCTTCACATTGCTTCAGACCTTTTCCAAGCAAAAGGGAGTGGAGGCTATGGATATTGCTCTTATACACAGTGTTGAGTGTGTTGTGGAGGACAGTTTATGCCCCAAAGTATTTATGGTAGAAACAGGCAAGGCAAAGGATGATTTACAGGCAGAAAATCAAGGGGAGGAAGTTCATAGAAGGACTGGATCTCAGATACTCTGTAATATCATAAGACCGGGGAAGTCTGAGTGCTTCATAATTCTATCAGAATTATCTCTTATGAAATCTACCAGTGTAAGCTAGTATACATACAAAAAAACCCATCTGGCATGTGGTAGCAAGAGCCATTTTATGGGTAGAAGCTTGCCAAAAAAGTTCAGAGCTGTGGTGTGTGATTGAAAATCTGAATCCGTGCCTCCATTCAAAATGTTGTAAGGGGGAAGTAAAAAGCAAGCGGAATTTATGTGCACACCATTCAAGATGTGGAAGGAGATAAAGATTAAGGGAGGAGAAACATAATCAGAAAAATACTTTTGACTTTTGCACTATCCCTCAAAGTCTAACAGACTGCAAGAGAATGAAGTTGTCTCCTCCATTTTCTGTACCATGCTCTCCAAAAAGTAGCCAGTATTGCTCTGAAGTAGAATCCACTGACAAAACCAAACTGGTTGCTCTTGCATTCTGTACTTTTGAGAGTCATGGCTAGTCATAGCTTGGCTGTGTCTGAAGAGTGCTCACAGAGCAAAAATAGCACTAGTAGCAGATATTAACTAAAGCCTTTGTTTCCAGGAAGGATGAAACACTCCTCTCCCTCACAGGGGTCTGTTCAGATCAGAGTTAAGAGCACAGCGGCAGCACAGCATTTAGAGGGTTTTGTCACAGCCCTGGGATGCAGCAGGATTTTAGTGGCCCAAACTGTGTGGTACACTAGGTGGCCTACAGCAGTGTTTAGTATTACTAAGAAGAGTAGGAGTACCTGCAGGATGACTCCTGCATAAGGGAGTGCAATAAGCTTCCTCAGTATGGAAGGCTTTTTAATTTTGTTTAGGAATCAGCTTAGCTACTGTTGTTTTAATATGTTCTTCACAGAATGCAACATGAATAGGGGAAAATAAATCTTGGTTGCCTGTTGTGGTTTCTGAGAAACCTCCATCAGTGGACTGTCTGTTTCTGAGCTTATGTATTATGCATTTGGCAGAGGCTCAGTTTAAAGAAATAGCTTGTGAATATTCTGTCTCTGTATTGTGGGGCAGGGAGTGGTGTATAACTGAGATATCATGATAGGAACTCAAGCAGTGATCCTGGATACTGTGGTGAGCTGAACTGGGACTGTTAGACTGGCCTGGATGGAAAACTGCAATTTATGGGGCTTCTGTATCTGTGAAAGGGAGCACAACCAAACAGCAAGCTTTTGTCCTTACCCCTGCTGGCCTGTCACTCTTCTCCCTATAGATATGAACTCCTAAGCTTGGACTGTTGTTCTGATGGTTGTTTCTTGTAGGCGCTCCTGCATAAAATCACATTAACTTCAGTGTTTGACTGCAGTTTACATCCTCGGTTTTCATCCTCATGGAGCAACTGGTGGATCAGCCGTAGTGTAAGATATGCAGGGCTGAGATCACAAGTGACAGTGGCGTGAAGTTCGTTGAGTGAGTCAGGTTGATAGACTTCAACTAAAGCAGAAACATACCTCACAAATTTAATTGGTATTGCTAGGTGAATCAATATTTGCTTATTTTGCTGTGGAGACCTTTTATCATTCAGGAAAGGTGTTACACAGCCTGCCTCTCTCATTTTAGAACAGAAGAGATGAGAGAAGTAGCTATTGCTGAATGCAGAAGGTGAAATGATAACTTTTTCAATATGTGCTTGGAAAAATTTAGATGTTTGTGGTTTAGGTTAGTATTTTTTTAAAAGGTGTGTCTTGTTCTTGATTGTTACTGAAATAAAACCAAATAGGGATTTTTCCACCATGAAGATGCTTTTTCAGAGAGCCGTGATATCACTGAAGAGAGGATCTGTCTGAAATTTCAAGAGATAAAGGGCTTGATCTAAATAAGATTTTAAGTTCAGAACTTTGTGGTCTTTGAATTGTTGAGAGAATTAGAGATGCAAATCAAGCCTATGTAGTTGAAGCAAAACTAGGAACAATGAAAATTAGTGTCTGAATGCCAAAAGGAAAATGCAAGGCATAGTTAAAAAAATGTATGTCCATTTCATTCTACCCTCTAAAAATGCAAAGTGAACAATTCTACTTTCCTTGAATTTTCATTTTTAATTCTTGAGTTTCTTGGCAAGGACATAGCCAGAAGAATTTTAACTGAAAACCTTTCTGGTGGTCATGTTCCTTGACACCTTTGACATTTGACAATAGCAAAATATATGTTTCTTTAATGCTATTTCTTTACTTTTGGAAGTAGAATAATAGATTACATTTTGTTCATATAGAGTCCTTGAATTGTCTTCTGCTTCGGTCTTCTGTAATAGTAAGAATCATTCAATAACAAAACTTACATCACTAGGGAATGTGAGGTTATTTTTTTCAGGTGAAATATGGAAAAGTTTAAAGGAAACTTGTATGAAAATTTTTGCAATTCTCCATATTGGCATTGGTCCGTTCCACCATAATCTTTCATGTTACATTAGTAATACTAGTGAACATGCAGTACATTAGTTTTTTTCAAATATAAATATGCTTACAGCTGTTAATATTTCAGCCTTCTTTTCTCCCTGTCTGCTTCCATCATTTTGATTGCATCAAAGATTTGGTACTCTATGGAAAATACCTAAAAACTTCTTGGTATTCCATCTCCAGATATGGAAAATATTGATCTCTTACAGGATAAGAAAATTGCTTTTAAGAGCATTTTTCTTAATCATTGAATTTTGAAGCTACTAATAAGACACTGTTCAAAATATACTTTGTTAGGTTGTTTTACTTTCTGCATGACAGAACTTGGTTCTGAATCACCTTCCCCCAAATTGGCAAAATATCTTCCTGTTCTAGAAAATTATTTTAGGTGCCCTCGCTTTTCTTGCTCATACATATATGGCAAACAAAGCGGGGTGGGGGTTTCCATCTTGCAGATGAGCTTTGTATGCTTGCATCAGGAAAATCAGACCATGTGATGTAACACTTAAGCTACTCTTCTGCCCACCCAAAATCATGTACATTGTTTGGTTTCTAAACTAGACCACAGATTAAATGAAGGCTTGGGAAACCTGTGAGATACTTCTCCATCTCATTTTCCTCAGGTTTTATTTTATTTGTTTATTCCATTTTTTGTTCTAGCTTGGTTCTGAGGTGAGACTGAAGAAAAAATTAATTCTGTAAGCACCACATGAACAATACCTTATGCATATTTGTGTTGCAGACAAATGGGATTTATTTAAATTGTTTGTTGCTTTCATAATTTTGGGTTAACTGCCCAGGGTTCTTTGCTTCCCTTTCTGGTTTGCAACACTAAGTAATATATATATGACTTGGATTTTGTGGAAGGGGGAAGTAGTTAAATGCATACATGAATTATTAATGTTCTGAGAACTTTTCATTGGGTGTTTTATTATTAAATCCTGCTTTAAAAGTACTGTATTAGAGCTTTAAACTTGGATTGCTCCACTGGAAGTTTTTATTATTAACATTTCAAAGCTCCTGAATGTAACTGACGTAATAGTAGAGAGGTACAGGACTGGAAAGAACTCGTGGGAGAAAGAGCGGAACAGAAGCATACACTAGCTCTGTTAAGTGGTTAACACATAGTTTGAAATTTCTGTAGCTTTCACTTCCTTGTAACTTTATACATGCTGGCTTATCCTTATTTCCTCTCTTTTAATGACCCATGATGCAGTATCTGCAAAGTTTTTTCTTAAACAGTCAGTTCATCATTTAGCAGGACATCCTTTGTTCCAAATCTTTCTTCTTCCCTGCCATGTTTCTACCAATCATGTACAAGAAAGGTGCTCAGGCAGTCACCTGGAAGATGCCCTGAATGTGTTCTGTGGAAATCTATGTAAAGATGATAGCCAGTCCTGTTACACAGCCACTTTGAAGCCTTTTGAAATGACTAGGCTGGCAGCAGATGGGGAAAGAAACCCTGGCTACTGCAACCAGATCTTGAAGTCTGTTGGATTTCAAAGCTGTTGGATTCTTGCTGCATCAGCAGCATAAGCCAAAATTCAGTGAAGTTCTGTGGTGACTGAATATCAAATAGCAGTTAAATTAGACCTTTCTACCCCAAATCTTTTGGAAACATGTAAACTTGAATCTATTGCTTGCAATAAACTTTAATCTGTTATTTGTAAAGCAGAGGATCCAGTCTTCGTCTTACTGATCTTTACTTTTCATTTTGATAGGAAACAAGGAATTTTGGCTGAAGTCCTTTCTAATTTTTAAGAGTATTTTTGTGTCCTGCTATGTTCTGCTGCTTAAGGATACCATTAAACTCAAACACCAGAGTGAAAAGAGCAGGCGTATTTTACTAGTGATAACAGTGTAATACAGAAAACACGCAGTAAGAAAAAGCAGAATAGTGCACTTAAAGCAGCAAACAGGAAAAAAGAGGGTAATGCTGCATTACTACACGAGAGAGAGAATGGAGATTAAGAAAAATACATCACCACTTGCATATATTATCATCATCCAGCCCCACAGTGGCTGGGCAGCCCCGGTTACAGCGAGGGTTTGCAGAGCCTGTCCCGGCAAGGGGGAAATCCTACGTGGTGCCTCCACCCGTAGGTGAGGCTGCCAGAGTCACTGCAAAGGGGCCCAGCCCTATAGACCAGAGATCGACAGGCCAGAATAGCCGGCACCTTTGCTTTGAGAGGAAAATTTCTGGTTTCATTCTCCTGTTGGTGTCCACCCAAAGCCTGGCATGGGCTCGGGGCGGGGGGGGAGGCGGTTAGACCAAGGGGTTTTCTAGCAAGGCCAGATACTCGGGTTCTCAGCCTTGAACAAGGCTAAACACAGGAAGTTGGAGACATTCTCTCCTCCTGATTATATTTTGTCTAAGCTGCCTCTTTCACTAGCGAGTTTACGTACTTTGTCAATGATTCCAGACTATGTTAGCAGCTTCGGCTTGGCACCTGTTGTTCAGGCTTCAGTACTTCAATGCTTTAGCACTTTTTATGTCAGCATAAGTGCGTTGTTATAACTTAGTACAATACCTACTAGCACAATGGTTATCAGTTATAAAATATACAGGATTCATCTATAGGTCAACTCTGGCTTGGGCCAGTTGTCCAAGCCTTAGCACTTCATGCTGTGAGCTAAGTTGCAAGTTTATTCACACAGCAAATGCCTGCTCTCAAAACAAAATGAATCCGCAAATGTGTCAACCTTCATTGTTATGGAATGTTGCAACATCAAAATGCCTTGACAACTAGACAGCAAGGCTTTCACCCTGTGTGAAATTTTGCTCTGAAAGCCATGTCTGGTTCAGATGAGTATATATAAAGTGAGGTAAATAGATTAAGTGTTTAAATGTCAGTAAGTTAATATTAATTGATAACTTTTAAAAATAAGTCAGAATACACTACAGTTCCCTTTATTAAAAAAAAAAATATCTGTGGGCAGAATTTAAACCTAGGTGATTCAGTTAATTATGCTTTGATGAGATTTCACATTAAAAATTACCGGAAAGACCTGTGCAATGGGTAGTAGAAAGTGGAGTTTTTATTAGAAAGTAGTACCTCTAAAATGCAGCTATGTGGGGCTCATGTATTGTTTTATTCTAGATCTCTGCGAATTTTCAAATGTGTAGTAGAATTAAGGACTGTGTTAATAGCTATTTCAGCTTTAAATCCCAGGGTATGGAAAGAAAGATTGATACAGAGTGGCTTCCAGCTTATTTACAGTTTCTTCTACATTGCAATAAAAAGAGTGAAATGCATGCAGTTCTGAATTGAGCACATCCAACTGCACTGCTGTTCAGCACAAATGCAGTTTAACATCTAATTAAACAGGCATTTTTTAACAAAAAGGGAAGCTAGAAGCATTGTCTGTTTCAGATCCTTAGTGCATGTAGCCCAGGGGCAGAACACAGACCACAGAGCAGTCAGTTTGTTGTAGTGGTGTTTGATGACTTGGGGGCTGCCCCATGTGGGCAGTATGACCATGGCAGGACAGGTGTTCTAGCTGGACAGCTAAAACCAAAATGCTCTCGCTTCCTGCCTGATTGCTTATGTATATTCTTATTGTGTAGCTGTGAGAGGAGAGTGCATGCTGTTTCCTCGTCCCTGGGCTGACCAAATACGACACTACTTCTGCCACTAGTGTACCAGAAGTTCTCTTTCATATCACAGTTCACTTCCCAAAAGCAGGATTCCCAGCAGCAGGGAAGAGGGAGTTTGTCAGGAATCTGGGTAGGAATGAAGGGTGTGTTGTAGGAGTCTAGAACTCCTCCTCACACCCCTAGTGTGAGCTAGGGGGCCATGGTAGGAAGGGGACAGAGAAGAGAATGGGGAGTGTTGTGGAAAGAACAGATTAAATCTGATACCTGTTGGGAGGGGGCTTCTAGTAGGGAATGTCACCTGTTTAGCAAAAAAACGACCAAAGCCTACACAAGAGACTAAAGTGCTAATCAATTTGAAAGCAACAAGTACATTTTTTCATGTTTGTGTAGCACTGTTTGAAATACTGTTTCAAAGTATTTGAAGTATTACTGTTTCAAACCCTACAGTAAGGAGTTGCAATATTAATGTTAGTATGGACACAGAAAATTGTGCTATTTCTTCTGGTGTCAAGTTTGATCTGCGTGTTCCTGACTGTTTTACTAATCTGCCATATCAAACTACAGAGCTGAGCTGAAGAAAATGTAAGACTACAGTGGTAACCAATATTTCCTTTCATAACTACCCGGCTTATTTTTAAGTAGCAAAAAAATGTTTCTAATGTGATTGTCAGGCTGTAACTCCTTGTTTGCTTCTCTTGCAGCCCTCAGATGCTTTGATATTGGGAAAGATAAAAAATGTGGATTGTGTGCTGTTGGCAAGGTAAACAAGCATTTTAAGGGGTTTTATGTTATGTGTCCTAAAGTTTTCTCAAAAGTTTGTTGGGGTTTTTTTTTACATTAGGTGAACCAAATTTTTACTCTGACTTCATCTTGCTGTGTGTGACTGCTAGCAAAGTCCAGCAGAAGTCTGGGTTTTGTCCTGAACAAATTTGATGCTGCAGGAACTCAGTGTATTAAAAATACCATATAGGTTAGAAAAGAGAAATCCAGTGCAGCATACTGCCCTACTAAGAACAGGAACCTGCAAGGCTGCCTGCTCTGTTGATAGGTAGGTGGTACCTGATAACCTCAGTAATTTGTCTACTCCTTGTGTTTCTAAATTTCCTTTGTGAAACTGGGAAATTGCCTGTTTCCAGATGAATTGTATCTCTGGTATCACTGTAGACTCTTCAAATCATCCCCTTTGATTATTGAGTCCTCTGTCTGTTACCTTTGTTGCTTAGGAGCCTGCATCTATTTCAGTTCTCCCACTCTGGGTCATTCTTATTAAGACATCTGTTACCATTCTCAGAAAAGATACCAGATGAGTGCATGGAAATTTCACATTAATGTAACTGTGGGTATCTAGGACCGGTGTGTTACTAGGTTAAACAGGAGAATATTAATGCAGTTGTCAGCATCTGCACAGCATGGGCAGAGCCAGGTGCTGATAATAGGGTCCATCAGCAGTCCCAGACAAGGTGATGAATCAAGTCCAAACAGGAGCAGTAGGAGATGGAGCCAGAGACAGGGTTGGAGACAAATGCTGCAGCATGTGTCCAAAGTCCATCCAGAGAACAGGTCTGGAGACAAACTACAGGATAGGTCTTAAGGCCATCCAGGAGGCAGGGCTGGGCACAGGCACATCTGTGACTTATGCCAGGAGTGAAGGCTGGAGCCTGAGCTTGAACGCAGGAGCACCTAGGCTCATGAGCACTGACTGTTTCAGTGGAGGCCCAGGGTGAGACTGGCCAGGGCAATTATGGCCCAGTGGTGCATCAGGGCCCCATTTCGTTTCATGCCAGTACTTTTCCGTTAAGCTTCTCACTGTTAAACATCTCTGCCATTACACTGCTGTCTGTGGTTTTACTTTTCTTACCTTGCATGGACTTTGCTCATGTATTTTATTACACCTGGACAACATATTTCTCATTTTCTCAAATGAAATAAGACAAGATCACATAGCTGTTCTGTATCAAAGTAGACCTTGGGCTACAGGTGGCTGAACAACTTGGCTGTGGTTTACATCCTTGCTGGGATTTATGACCATTCAGGTATGACACTCGTGAGTTTACTTTTGGGAGTAAGATACCTGCAACTTCACTGTGTGTTTTGGGAAAAATAACAGAGTTGCTTGTGAATGTCAAATTTATAAAAAAGGCATGTATGTTCTAGAAGAGGATGGCAAAAACTGCAACATTAAGCAATAAATCTACATGCCCAGTAGCTTATCAGAAATGCTAATGACAACATGGGAATCCTGCTTGTCATGTGTGCAACCCCCAGTTTTCAGTTAATAAAGTTCTTAAGACCTTTTTGTGTCTCTGAAAGAATCAGTTGGGAAATTAAGTTCATCCTTTCTTCCTACATCGTTGAAAATAATTTTCAAATGTGTTTAATCATTATGTGAGTGATGTAGCTCTATAGTGATGACTGAGATAAGTCTTACTAGCACAAGCTTTTGTGTTAAGTATTTCCTGTCTTGGTGAGAAAATACAGTGCAACAGTGTGAAGTTATTCTTCTAATTTATATAAGCTGTCAGATCTTTTTAAGAGCAAAAAGAAAAATGTGATGATTCTGCTGTTTTTTTTGGAAGGTGACAGATTAAAACAGTTTGTTTTTTCTGGTTTTAATTTCCTGTGATGTGCCGTTCTTTTCTGGGTGAGAATACAAACAGCACTTCTGGGCAGAAAATTTGTTGAGGTGTATAAAAATTTTACAAATTTGTTGTACTGTATGGAAGATTTAATCTGCTAGACTTGGATTATCAGAATCTATGGAACTGACTTTAAAAATTCAGAGAAAGCTGCTAAAGTGTATTTGGATTGTATTTTCAAGATGCTTTTTATGACAGTCTCGAACTTAAAATTTTTGTATTTAAAAAGAAAGCTACACCACTACTTCTCAAATCGAATACTGAGAGAACCTTAATACGGTTAGGAAAACAAGCTGTACTGGAAGTAACTGAAATGATCAGTTCCACTTCCAGTGTTGTTGAGGAAATGACGTTTCCTGCAATTCTCTGTATCTGGGTGAAGGAAACAATTTCAGTCTGATTTATTTTACTCTCTTGAAACATGTATCTTTGCAGACATGGAAGGCACCATACAATTATGCCATCGAACGTCAATTACCATGCCAATATCTGGGCATTAAAAGAAGAAAATTGTTCACATGTATTAGTGACTACTGCCTGTGGTTCATTACGTGAGGAAATACAACCTGGTGATCTTGTCATAATTGACCAATTCATTGACAGGTGAGTAACATTTGGTTTTAATTGTGTTCTTAGTTTTGGGGTAGAAAAAAGGGGACAAGTTAAACCATATAATAATATGTTAATGTTAAATTAGGTTTTTGTGCAATGAGGCGAGAGCCTCAGTTCTTCTGGCAAAAAAATGAGATTCATACAAGGAGACATGATAGGAATCAGGAATGAGATTACAAGAAGTTCAGCTCTAACAGAGATAAGAAATAGCAGGCTTTGAAGAATGGTCTCAAATGAGCTGAAGTGTAGCTCCTTGGGAAGAGTATTCTGAAGAGAAGACATTTCTTATTCTCAGATGAGAAGAACATGAGTAAGAGCACAATCCATTCTAAATTTTAAGAATAATCTGAAGTGAAATGGAGAGGTGCAAGAAAGCATAGTAGGAGCCAGGTAGGCAAATTTATACAGTAGTGATGAGTCTTTACAGAAGAGAGATCAAATACCACACAGTGGTAAAAGAGAGGAGATAGTTTTAAAACAAGGATAGATGCTAACATTTTTTATTTGCTAAGGATCATATAGAAGTAAATTTTTTCCAGAGTCTACTCCAGTCAGTCCTCCCCTCGATTATCTGATGTTTAGAAAACTTAAAGCAAATGGGGGTAGAAAAGCTACATTTAAAGATCACTAACTACACTGAATATTTTTAAAATATAGTTGCACATTTTAAGAGGTAAATTTATTATTACTACTTCTAGGTATACAGTACCTGGATGTTTTATTTGGGTATTCCACCCAATTTTAAGTGTTTGGGATGGTTTATGCAGGTTCTTTGTGCTTTTGGGGGGCTGCTGACAATATTTAATTGCCAACTAAACATGTGTACTTAGGTGTGTTGTCTGCAGTGCAGTGCTACTCATGTTTTGACTTACTGATATTTTTTGTGTGTGTAGCTGAAATGCTTTGTCTTGTAAGAGGGTACATTTTAAGTACAGTGTATCTAAATGACTAAGTGCCCTGCAGGAGCAAGCCCCATACGTACTGTTCCTGTTATACTGGAGTTGATACATAGATGGAGAGCAGCTGTATTGTTGACAATGGTCTTTTTTTTTTCTCAAGTCTGAAAGTATTTAGTCTGATCACTTTGTCTATACAGATTAAATCACAATTATACTTATTCTGCTAGTAGTACTTGGAAATGAGTGACTTTAGTGTTGATACTGATTTATGTAGGAAAGATATTAAAAATACTTGGTTGGGTACACAGTTTGGATGATTCTGAGTGAAGCACCAGTTATTTTGACAGCATTATTATCTAGAAGAATCTTAGGTAGATGAGGGGAGCCTAACCACGCTGAGCTGTGAATTGCATGCATGTAGGGAGTAGCCTCTGGCCCAGAGAACCTGCAGTTTTTAACAGGAAACAGTAAGAATGATTGCAGAATTATTACCTGCTACAGATGAGGGTTGGAAGTATGGAGGAACTAACTCTTGCAGAGGTCAGGCAGAAAGACATTAATAGAGCCAGGACGTGAACACAGGTATGAAATCTGAGACCATTCTTCATCCATAATGTCATTACCAAAATTAACAATTCTTTTTGAAGCTACCTGATCGCCTCTCACAGCTTTAAATTTTCCAGCACTTGCCAGTCTGCAGCATAACTTCGGAGCTGGAAAAGAAACAATCAGCTTGATTAAGTCTGGGTTTTAATAGCAAGTCCCTTTCAAGAAGAAAGAAAAAAAAAAAAAAAAAAAATCAGTGTATTTATCTGAAGCGAAGATGAGTGAAAGGACGGGGATCATTTACATTGCAACAAAGAAGACAAATAACAGTACCTTGGGCTGCATTAGTAGGGGTGTTACCAGCAGGTCAAAGGAGGTGATTCTTCTTCCCCTCTACTCAGTACTTGTGAGGCCACAACTGGAATACTGTGTCCAGTGCTGGGCTCCCCAGTGCAAGAGGGACATGGACATACTGAAGAGAGTCCAACAAAGGGACACAAAGATGTTGGCAGGACTAAAGCATGAGGAGAGCTGGAAGTGTTCAGCCTGGAGAAGTCTCAAGGGGGAGCTCATCAGTGTATATAAATAACCTGAAGTGATGGTGTAAAGAATACAGAACCAGACTCTTCCCAGTGATGCCCAATGACAGGACCAGAGGAACAGACAGAAAGAGAGGAGTGCCCTCTGAACACCAGGAAACACTTTTTCCACTGTGAGAGTGACTGACCACTGGCACAGGTTGTCCAGAGACACTGTGTAGTCTTCATCCTTGGAGATATTCAAAAGCACCTGGACTGGGCAACCAGTTCTAGGTAGCCCTACTTGAACAGAGTGTTGGACCAGTAACCTCCAGAGGTCCCTTTTAACCTCAACCATTCTGTGGTTCTATGATATGTGTCTTCATTTAGAGTTTATTCAGATGGCCAGCATAGTGATGGCATACCCCATATATGGGCAGTGTTTAATTCAGGAAAGAAGAGTGGGAACTTGTGGGGACTTATTTCATGGCTTCAGGAAACCAAGAAGTTTCTCAGAAAAGGAGGTGATAATAATAATAATAGCCTGTTTCATTTGAGAATTTGATTTCTGTGGTAAGTCTTTTCCCCTGCTGATCTTTGCCAGTGGGTATTAGACTGCTAGTTCTTTGGAGGTAGGGTCTGCATTTTTGCCTTTTGCAGGGGTATATCTGTGTAAGAGTGCTTGCATTATGTATCATAAATTATTATGAAAACAGTGCTGCTGGCAGGAGGATATTTTCATGGGACAAAAATAGATTAATTGTCCACCAAAGTCTGAAAAGATGCAATTTTTTTGAAACACCGAGTGAAAAACCAGGATCCTGCAGACAAACTATGTCATCAGTCTTGGAAAGAAGGTACTGTTTAAAGCTGCAAAAACAGTCAGTTATTTTTCTTGAAAGGTACGCTGGCTTCTTTATAGTGATTAACCCATGCTGGGCAGTACATAAGAAAGAGGCCTGGGTCTAAGTGGGAAGGATTTGCTCAAGCTGCCATTGAAAGTGATCCTTTCTAGGTGTCCAGGTACCTTTCAGGTATGAAGAAAGAAGAAAAAACCGTGAATGGGAATAGGAGAAGAGCTAGAACTGAGCAGAAAGCTGTAGGCAGCAGTTGTAATTTACTCCCTGTGGGCATGTATTTTGTGGCATTAATGACAGGATCTCAGTATATGGAGTTCTGTAGGAGTTTTGCCTAGTTTAGGTCATAGGTTTGACTTATAGTGGGGAGTACTTAATAGGTGTAATAAGAACTATATATCTTTTCCAAACTTCTGAGAGCTTAATTCTGCAGATCATTAGCACTCCTAGTAAGTGTTTGATTTCGTTTGTAGAGTCACTGCTTTTTGCACTTATCTATTAGGGTGTGTATTTAAACAATAAAAGATGTTTTGTTAAATAAGTAGCAAAATATTTACATGGTGTTCTCCCTACTTCCAAATCCAAAAGTAACTACAGGTAATATTATGGGCTGTAACAGTTGTTCTCTTCTTTAAAACAAGTGCCTAAAAAAAATCTGGAAGAATTTTTTTCTGCCTTTGGCTCCTGTGAGTTTTAGTGCTGTTAGTCAGCTGGCTAGATCAGACTGATTAGGGGCTTTTTAATACTTTATTGCTGCTGCTGTTTGCTAGGAAAAGAAGAGTAAGATGGTAACTACTTACTTGGATGACTCAGCTCAGTCGGAAGGGTGCAGAAAATAGCTTCATAAAAGAAATCCTGTAACAGCTGCCAACTTTATTATTTGAATTCTTTGTGTCACACACACCACTACAGTTATTGCAGTATTGTTACGTTCTTGTTTTGTGGGATAATTTTCTTTCAATGCTCCTGAAGAGGCAGAGTATGCTGAGACTGTTTTTTTATACAGCAGATGCCAGTGTGAATTTTCATTTTGTTCCTTAATTTCTAATAGCCTGTTGATAATTCAACACTACTGGAAGAAAATTGATGATGCATGTGGTAGAGGACTGTTTGTCACAGATGGAAATTATTTGTTTGTTAACATAACTTGGGTTGGGTTTTGCTTCCTAGCATCAGTCGTAGTCATCACTGCCAGAAAATCTTGTTACTGTGATAAAATCAAAATGAAGGAGCAAAAGTCACCTTACTGTCTGATTAAAAGTGTGGCTGTTGCTGAGGGTAGGGAGTACAGGCTCTGGAGACACCTTCAAAATTGTGGTACATGCAGCTGTGAATTCGAAAAAGCAGTAAGGGCAAGGCAGGCATGGCTGAACTATGCAAGAGTGCAAGGGTTTGCTTGCACTGTGAGTAGCACTGTCTCCTTGAGCTTGTTACACAAGCGGTTATGAATAAAAACATACATGCCCCTTTTGCAAGGGAAGAATTCCTTTTTCTCCTGTAATGCTGCCCACTGGCACAGAAGCACATGAGGGTCCGGTGGGGATTCTCTGTAGAGCCCTCCAGAGGTCAGATGGCCAGCAGGAGCTATGCAGCCCTGGCTCTTAGCTGCTTGCTTGTAGTTATTGGTCCAGTGCTTTCAGGTGCAGCTTCTGATTGCCCCCCACTGGAAGCATCTCTGTACTTTCCCTTCATGCTGTGCTTGATCCTTCTGGACTGTGTGCTTCTACTTATGAGTAGTGTGGCTAGTTTCTAGGCAGGCACTTGGTGACTTCTTCCTGTTTTAATGTAAACAACCAGGAGTTGTATAACATTCGTTTGTGCTCTGCTGTTAAGCAGGCTCTTCTTTTGCTGGAGGGCATGTGGACTTCTCCACATTTAAAACTGTGAGATATAATAAGCAAACTGTCTTTGAAGAGTAGCTGTTGAGTTCCTTATTGCTTGTCTCCTGATGGCTCCATGAGGAGTCACTCAGGGAAACTTCTGTAATGACAGGAGCTTTAGGCAGATACTACTGTTTGCTTTCTGGCTCTTGGTCTCTGTGAGAGTAAGGCAAGGAAAGTAACTGTGGTTCTGTAACCTTCATTCTCTCTACAAGGGATACAGAGAAGCGAGACTGCACCAGTGGAAATTACATGCTTCTGCCCTCTATCTTGCAGACAGGTGTGTGGGACAGATCAGAATAGCCAACTCCTGACTTGAGTAGCAGTTCTATAGAAAGGAGGAGAGGCTAAAAGGCATTCCTCTGGCCGGCCATTACTTCATAGATAGCAAGAATCAGAGTTTGGTTCAAACCTGCCTCTATTCTCACCCTAAGCCTCGCAATTTACAGACATACCAGCTGGTCCCATATGGAATAGCTGTGGCCTTTGCAGAGTTGACGTATCCTTCCATGCAGAAAATAAATTGTTACACTCAGAGTGCAAACACATGTGGACCATTGCTCAGAGCAGTCATAGGTCTTACTGTTTTTACTTACTCCCATGCAGTTTGTATGTATGATGTTAAATATAGTTGGATTTCTTTACTAGAACATGTAGTGATGTGGACTTTAGGGTATCTGAAAGTCAGCAATTAATATTTATGCGTATGTGATGTTTCTTCAACACTTTTCTGAGTGAAAGGGCCTGGCTAACAACATCTGAAATACTATAATGCAGGAAATGGATTATGAGTTTTCCCATTTCCTCCAATTCTAAAAATTCATTACCAGACACTTAAAGTGTGTAAACCCAGATATATTCTATTTGCAGCTCTTCAGTATCCCATAAAGGAAAGATTGATATTAGGATTTCAAGCAGTTTTAATAGCTGTATCCCATGTTGCATATGTTTTTAATTTGCTGATCTCTTTTCCTATTTTATAATGTCATCCTTAAGGCTACCCTGTATGTACTTTTTTTTCAAATCTACTCTAACATGTAAATTGTATATGAAACCTTCTGTTAAATACTTGCTGATGACTTGGGTGGGGAACTGCTGCAAGCAGTATTACCAGCAGAAATTTTGTACTTTTAGCTGTGGCTGTTGCATTACTTTTCTCCTAACAAATTACAGTATGTGACATACTGCAGGGAAGAAGGGAGTGTCTCAAAGAATTGTGTTCCAGAGGGTTTTTGCCATGCAGTTGGCTGAATTAGCCTGAGGCAGTGCATTTGAAGGTAAAGAATTGGTGGGTAACAGTTCCAGTAGTTGTCAGAATGACATGGGTAGTAATTTCTGCAGCACATTTGACTGTTTCCACGCAAGGAAACAGTTTCTCAACTAAAAGACAGGAGAAAAAGGATTCTGCTACTTGCAAGCCGCCAATGCATGTGTGTAATCTTTCTGAGAATTTGAAGACATCCTGTTTCAGGGTTTTTCTGGTTGAATTTATACCTCTCTTGTTCAGGAAGTTGTTCCTATAAATTTCCATCCTTTCAATGTAGGAATGCAGTGATATGAACAAGCTCTATTTTGACTAGCTTTGTGATAATTCAGAGTTGATCCCTTCCTGAAAGCTTACTGTGCTCTTTTTTTTCAGAGATTACTTGCCTGACTATTAAATTTGGCTGATTTCTTTTGGGTAGAATTGCAGCATGATGTGGCTGTGTCATTTAGGAAAAAATCAGCATTTCAGTGTCTTGGTAACAATAGATTTTCTCTAATTAATTGGCTGTGCACTACTGGAGTACCAGTTCTGTACTCAAGTACAGTTCTGAAAGGTTTGTACAGAGGCAGGGTTATAGATCGTCGTTTCTATCATACTGGTATTTTTGTTCCCTCACAGGAATGCTATGTTTGTTTGATTTGTGTAAAATTCTTGCTTTCTCTTCTGTTTTATCACTGTTCTTCTCTCTGAGCATGTTTTCTGCTTTTCTAGGACAACAAAAAGACATTGTACTTTATACGATGGGCAGCATTCCACTCTTCCAGGAGTATGTCATATTCCAATGGCAGAGCCATTCTGCACCAAAACCAGAGAGGTTAGTAAATTTTGTAATAGTATATAGAAATGTTATTTTTATGACACTCATTATATAATGCATTCTTAGATTACAGAGGCAATCTGCACTTCTTTATTCCTGTTGCTCATATATGTCATGGTATTAAGAAAAAATGTAATATTTGGAAGGCATGGGAAGTAAAAGATCTTCTGTCTGTAGAAGCTGTCTTCCTAAGAGAAGTGTGCAGAAGATGTCAGTTAGCAACCTAGATTTCCCTGGGGTCTTAATAACAGGACAAAAGATCTTTATTTGTCAAGTAACAAGCCAAGAGAGCAACAAAGTGGACAAAGCACTAAGATGGAATTAGTTCCTTTTTGTTCTGAATAAAACTACACCTATGGTAGAGGCACTCTACATATTTAATACAAAGAATTAAATAAAGGGTCTTTTAGCATTCACAGAAATTACATTTGTGTGTTGTAGCAGTTGGTGGTGGTGGACAGTCAAGGCTTAGTTTAAAGGATGTTAAATGTAGAAACAAGCCAAATTACAGTAGCTTTTTATTCTTAACTGTTGTTCTTTGTTTTGTCACTTCAAGATTTTCAGGCTTCAGAAATGCTTAGACTAAGCAGTGTTATTTTGCTCTGCTTTTCAACACCTTAATAAGTTTCTGGGAGGAGTGTATCTGTGATTAAATATGCCATCTTAGTGTATTCTTAGACCTAAAGAAAAGGGAAGGTAAAGACTGAACTGCTTTTTTTGTGTTGTGGAATGCTTGGATCAGAAGCTGCAAGGAGGTACATTATCAGGACCACGGGAATGCTTACAGACTCAGTCATATCCATCTAAGAAACTTGGTCTCTATGCAGTCATTTACTACACCAAGCAGGACAAAGCAGAATTGTGAAGCAGGTGGCCCAATCTGTACCAGAGCATGTACAGTGTTTACACTACTGAACTATTCTGCTCTTCTCACCAATTCACTTCCGTGTCATTACAGGCTGGTTTTATTAATTGGCCAGATGCAGTGTGCTTTGGGGACATTCACCAGCAGATCCACAGCACTGTTAGTAGAACAAGGCTTCAGTGCACTGGGAATCAAGGTGTTTTGCAATGAAGTAAAGACACTTTAAATCTCCTGAGAAAACATACCACTACATACTACACATGTGCTTGCTTCTGGCCTTCTTCCATTGAGCAGTAAATTATACTTTGCATTTTTCATGCAACAAGAGCCTAGCCACATGCTCTTACCAAAGATTAGTTGGCATATAATTGCTGACTGACTTTGAGCATGATGTCATGTCACAACAGATACAAGGAGTTTAGTGACAGCTAACTATACACTTTCCAAAGTGGATTAAAAGCAGTGTTATTACTGAAGTGATTGGCAAAACTTCACACAATGTCTTTTTCTCATTTTTTAGAAAAGGTAAGTAGATATGCATAAGCCGTTTCCTGAGGTTGCAGGAAGCGTACAGCAAGGCTAGTTTTCATTTGATTGCTAAGTAGCTAGAGACAATGTTCTTTGGGTATTATATTGCTTGAAAAGCAAACAGAGAAATGCTCCTTTCAAACAGAGAAAAAACATTTAGGTACTTCCCAGTCTCACATGTGATCATTATCTCATTAGCCTATGCATTCTAATCATCCTAGCAGATGCTTTAAAGAACATGTGGCTTTGAGCTCTTCAGATGAAAAGGGATACTTCCACTTCATTTGAAAATACCAGATAAAAGTGACTTAAACTTTTTTCCTGGAACTATCCCTGAAAATTGTTGGGATCATTTCAGCCCAGTTTATTTTAATACAGGGGAATTTCATAGATAAATGCAGTAATAATAATAATAAAGCCAAAAGTATTAACGTAATAGACTACAGAATTTTGCATGAAAACATCTGAAAACTTTATATTAAATTGCATTTGTTTGGATACATGAAGATACTTTGGTTTTTATGCACTGTAAATTCAGTGAGAATCTGAAAGGAGTTTATCTTTTCTCTGACTGCAAATTTTAGAATAATGTAGGGTGTCATGGTTATTACTGCTTTCAGAAACTGGGGCTTACTGCAACATCTTATAGGGAACAAAGTTGGAACTTTGTGAAGAGTTTCAGGGAAATAATGCTGAACTGTGTTTGAAGTCAAATCACAATTGAAGTTGTCTTTTGATTTTATTAACAACATGCAATTAACTGGCAATCAGTGAGTCCTATATTCAGAATGAATATCAGCAATAAACCACAATATTAAATGTAATTAATATTAGATTAATTTACAGCGTAATAATAAACACCTATACATTTCTAAGTGTCCTCTGTGGCTAATCTTAGAAGCTCTGCCTTACACCTGCACACATATTCATGCAGTTGCATGCACAAATACCCTTCCCCTGAACATGTGGGTTACATGCATGCTCACCTTCTTCTGCCAGTGCAGGTTTACCTCTTTACACACATCTATAGTGGGAGGTGTGGTTTAACTTCAGCTTTCTGTGTACTTGTGCTCTTCCACACAATCCACTTAACCACGTGCCAGTGAGGAAGCACCCCACAAGGTCACATAGCACACTTGAAGTATTGCTGCTTGTTGCACCTGTATATGGCAGGTCGACCAGCCAGCTTCTCACAGCGTTTTGAAGGGAGGCTGCTCCACCTGGCCTGTTGAAGGTCATGATGCTGACAAGTCAACTTCTAGTGATGTCAGACTAGGTTTTCACTACTGCTGTGTTATGAAGGTCTCTCCTGTTGTGTCATTATTTTTCATGCTCTTTTGTACTTTTCAAGCTTTTCTGTAGAAGCTTGTCTTAAACAGATGTCATCATAGTTACTTTTCCCTTCCTACTCAGCACAGTTACAGGTATCCTAATCCCATCTACTCATGCTGATACACTCTTATTCCTACTGTATCAACTGGCATTGCCCAGGCCACTTACTCAGAGAGGAAGTCATGATGGTTCTGCCATATGCAAGGTCCTAGTTGGAACTATAAAGACTGATGTGAAGTGCATGGTATATTTAAAGTGGACAGCTCAGTCACTGGGAAAATGTGGTGATAATTTCTGTACAAATTCCAGGACACTCTTTGAAGTCTGTGCTTGTAAAGTTTTACTTTCAAAAAGTAAATTTCTATTACTGCTCTCAGCAGCTCAACTCAACCATGTGGTACTGTAGTGCTCAGTGGAGTGTTTTCACCATTCTGTTCTTAATATAAGCACATCCTAAATATCATGCAAAAACTTTGTTTTCCAGTCGTCTTGGTCTGCATTGAAAACAGCAATCCAACTGATACTAACAAAATTAGATGAGTTCAAGATCATTCCTGTTAGTAGGATTATTAATTTATTTTGCTGGATGAGGAAACTGGAACTGATCCTTTGTTTTGGACAGCTGTGGCCATATGAAACTTGACTGCTTTGTATAAAGCTAATTTGTTTTGTATGGGATGCAAAAACAGTGTACCAGGAGAATTATTTCCGTTTCCTGGCCTGTTTTGCAGGTTCTTATGGAGACTGCCAAGAAGCTTGGGCTCCAGTGTCATTCCAAGGGAACAGTAATCACAATTGAAGGCCCACGTTTCAGTTCTCGAGCAGAAAGCTTGATGTTTCGCAGCTGGGGAGCTGATGTTATCAACATGACCACAGTGCCTGAAGTGATTCTTGCGAAAGAAGCTGGAATGAGTTATGCCAGTATTGCCATGGTAACAGATTACGACTGCTGGAAGGAACATGAAGAAGCAGTGAGTGAAACTTCTTTTCCTCTGGCTCTTGTTCTGAGGAATCTGGATGAGAACCTGTAGGTTCTGATAAGAGATCACGTAACTGAACTAAATCTGTTCTTTCTTGTATCAGTACTACTGAGTTATTCTGGATGAGCAATTGTGAAAGTACAAGCAGAATCTGTTGTTGCTACTTCATTCGTTTTCATAAACTTACCTCACTACTAGCACACATTTTGTCTCCTCTTGTCTGAAGCAGGGATCTGTGTGTGTGAAGCTCATGAACTCTGTATATGAGCTTGTCTTCCTGTAATTGGTTTGGTGTTTTTTTCTTTTTGAGGTCTGTGCAAAACAGTGTATCTGCTTTAGTTCTCCTATTTGTGTAAAATACAATCAGACATTTATCTACAGGGGAAACAATTTTTACTGGCTAAAAATCAGTGACATTGTAAAGCTTCACTTTTTCGCATAGAGAGGTAGGAGTTACATGTATGTATTTGGGTATTTAAAATGTGTGCTATCAAAATTGAGAGACACCACTCGATTTTATTGTATTTCTAGGTTTCAGTGGATAAAGTTTTAAAGACGCTGAAAGGGAATGCAAATAAGGCTACTAGCGTACTCCTTAATGCTATACCTCAGATAGGTTCCATGGACTGGACTGGCACTCTGCACACCCTGAAAGTAAGTATACATATGAGTCTGATAAGTACTGGGGAGAGTGTATGCATATATACACATAATACAGGTATATGTTCTGAGATGTTTGTGCTTAAATAATAATTTAGAATAGATGCTTTAACAAACCAAATCCATTCAGGATGGGCAAACAAAATTCATTGAGACTCTCACAAGCTTTATTGCAAAGAACTGGCTTCAGTTTTACAAGAAGCATTACAGAAGGTAAAGAAAATAAGGACATCTGTAATATGGTTGATGAAGTGTCATCCTTTGTTGTAAATCTAAGATCCAGATCTCTGAGTATCCAAATGAAAAACCTGTACCTCTACTCAGCTTTAGCTTAGATCTTAGAACAATGGAAAGCCAAGCAGAGAAGACTGATTCAAACAAAAAACATTGTGTTCTCTTTAATATGTAGAAGGAGAGGAGTCTGTTACAAGATATGGGTAATAACCAGTTTGAGATTAGTTGAACTGTGTTCTCCCACAGATTTCAGATCCATAGTGCATGAAAAAAAAAAAAGAAAAGAAAGAAAATAAAAACATTTCAAAATATATTGGTGAGGAAATTTTTAGGCAGAATTTTTCTTAGATAAGAGTTTACTTACATGTTTTAACATCACCTCTATTTCATAGGCATGCTTGAGGTTCATTTGTGGCTGTAGCATAGAGAGAAAGAAAAATGCTAAAATAATTTGGATGTCTATCCAATTAATCAACAAGCTTTTTGTGTCAAGTATCCACTTCCAAGAGTACAAGATCATGAAGCACAAGAGCAACTGAGAGGATTACATTGAGGTGGTGTGGGAGACAGAAAAAGAGAATTGGAATGTGGAAGACAGAGAGCAGAATTAAGTGGGCCACAAGTATCTCTGTTAGTGGATGCAGCAGCAGTCTGAAAATGAGGAAATTTATGAGAGTCCAGTCTCTGATAACACTCTCCTCAATCAGGTTTGTTCTTTCTCTTTTCTGAAGATCACTGTGTTGACTGAAATTTGAATGGGTAAGAAATATGAACACAGACCTAAGTCATGTCTTCATATGCCTCAGAGTATGTCCCTGAAATTCAGCTATCAAGAGAACTATATGTGGTGTAAAAATCTTCTGTGTCTTCTGATTGGGATAATATTTTCCATTTTGTTTCCAGTACTGTACTCTTGTTAGTGACTCTCATTTCTAGCTTAGTCAGTTTCCTAAAAGAAAGACATTAAGCAAAATTCACCCCAGACACTTTTAAGCATACATGACCAGGTCAGGTTCACTGAGGTCCAAACCAAATCCTTGAAATGAATCTTTTGCTGATTCTTTACTAGAAAACCTACTTTTTATTATGAGACTTTAGATTATGTTTATGACTCTCCCTCACCTAATTATCTGAAACAGCTGTTTAAATGTCCTGTCTATACATTTGTGAGAGGTAATTGACTTTTCCCCTTTGCAGTCTTTAGGAAGTTGTGTCATGGATGGATAAGGGAGACAACAGAATCAGTATTTCTTCTCCCCTCTAATCCACAGAAAACATTTTCAGAGGACTGGGCCACATTTTTTGTGTAATACAGATACCCAGCACACCAAAAACCTCAGAGTTTGAACAAATAATCTAAAAAATGTGCTAGATATTCCTCAATTGCTTTGGTCATGCTGACATGCAAGGAAATTTGCCAGGTATATAATGCTGCTTCAGTACTGAGGGATTTACCTCTAGATCTGTCAGGTGTACTTCAGTAAGCAGTGTCCTGCTGCTTTCCCTTGCATGAATGTCTTGATTCTTCATCTTCATTTGCAGTGAAAGAGCAGGTGACTGGAAAGAGCTTGCAGAGTTTGCAAGGTTCCCCTTTAATGAATGCTAACCATTCTTCCATTTCATTGTCAGCTGTTTAAAATACAGATTCAAGTGCTTCTTCCACCTCAGTCCCTGAACTACTATTTGATGAAAGAAGAAAATATGATGCACCAGAGGAAGGGTCACTCCATTCTAATGTAGATTCTTATACTCTTTCTCTTAAACATCTGCTACTGCCTGGTGTCAATGTTAAGATAGTTCCACTTGGGCTTGGCAACTCTTACATGTTTATCTTTGCTGATAGTGGCTTGGTTTGAGGGATATTGAGAACGTTGGTTTGAAGACGTTAGAAGAACTGGAAACAGGAATTGGCAGGTGGGGATTGAGATTCTATGTCAGGAGAATAGGATTCACAATTGTCTCTGATTTAACGCAATGAAATACTCTGGAAAAGTGGTGACAGGAAAGTCTGAGGGTTTGGAGGCTTTCTCTGATTTTACTTAGGAAGGGCAGGAAAGGCTAAAAATCTTTGTTTGAGGTATTAAATGGTGGTAAAGTAGGTAAAAGAGTGGTCCTGGACTTCTGTGTTAATGAATAAGGAGAGGCAATTTTGCAATACAGCAAAGAGAGAGATGAATGCATGTGCCTCTGTATGAGTGTGTAGTTGAATCAAAGAGATTTTAAAATCTAATCACTTTGTAGGTGTGAAATGTTACCTGTATATTTTACTCTGGGAATTTCAGATGTCAGATGATGGGGTTTTTGAACTGATTATTTATGGAGGCATCTTTTCGTAGAGCCTGAAGGCAGTGTCTCTTGCATGCCCTGTGTTAATGTGGTAAGGAATGCAGACAAGGAGGAAGCTGAGCAAGACTACAACTGGTACTTTGCTATCAGTGACGATGTAAAGCCCTGCCAGCCTGTGTCCAGGCTGCAGCTGGGCATTTGTCAGTGTCTGTTCCTAGTGTTTGGAGGGAACCATGTGACACCGTAAAGCTGTACATGGACACAGTTTTTCATTTCTGAACTCTGTAATCTGGCTGCTGTGACTGGAGGAACTTCAGTAGGCAGGAGAAAATAGACTGCCAGTCTCTTTGCCCAGCTGTATTTATCTGTCTCCTCCCATGACAGTATGCACACACACATCTGGTGGTGTCACCTCTGAATCTCACAGTAGTCTTTAGGAAATCCTGGAGTGTTGAAGCAAAAATGTCCAAGGACTGGTCTTCTCCTAGAGGATAGGCTGCCTGCTGTCCATTCCTTTTCATGTGTCTTTTCATCTGTGATATGCCAGTGAGTTTAAATGTAGTTTGAAAGTGACTGTTTTTTGACTGCCTAAGATGTCTTCAGGCCAGTATTTCCTGGCTCTGTGCTGTGAAAAGAGATCATTCTCCAGGCTCAGGTTACATGAGCTTGAAAAAAATTTTCCTGCAAGCACAGCATCTTCCTACAGCCTGTCATTTTGAGACGTGTCCAGGGTACAAAGCCTTTACTCTTTCAGAACAGGGTATGACCACATTGTATTTATGTCATGGATCAGGAAACACAGGTGATGCTATTGATCACAGTGTTCCAAGTGATTTCTGGCTGGTGTTAGGGAAATTTCTGGTTAGGATGGGCCAGCCATGGGTGATACACAGCTGGATCTGCTGTTCACTGAGAAGAATTGTTTAGTGAGGTGATGATCACTGGCAGTTGTTGCTGTAATGCTTGTGATTCAACATCCTGTGGGGAGGAAGGAAAGCAAGTAGCTGACTACAGGTGCTGGAGTTCAGTCAGGTGAGCATACTTGGATTTAACCAGTGAACTAGTAGGTATCATCTCATGGGAGGCAGCTCTGAAGGGGCAAGAAGCTCCAGCAAGCTGTCGGGTCTTTAAGGGTAGCATTCTTCAAGCACAGGAGTGATCCACAGAAAGGCCAATCAGATGACTGACTTGACTAAACAGGAAACACAACTCCAGTTTGAAAATGCAGTATTTGAGGGTTGGAAGCAAGGAAAAGCTACAAAGAAGGAATCCAGAAGCAAGAGCAGGCATGTAGGGATGGTTTCAGGAAAACCAAAGCTTGCCTGTAGTCAACACTTGGAAGGGATGTCAAAAGCAATGAGAACTTCAGCCACTGCATTGTTATCAAAAGCTGTTCAAGTAAAATATGGACTCATTGCTGAATGAAGTAAATGAATTAGTGGCAGCAAACAATTTCCATGGAGAACCAATATAGTAGATTCTTTCTTATCTTTCTTTGGAAGAGTGTTGGTGAGAGAGGAAAAACTGTCTTGCTGAAAAGAATTTTAACTTGTAGCAACTGGGAATTGAGGACTGTACCTTTATCACAGTAAAGTTTAATCCAGTGAGGATCAGAGAAAAATCTGAACTGGGATGGTAAAAGGAATGTCATGTTAGAACTGATTTTTCTTACAACGTGGGTGTAAGAAAATTGGCTTGTGATAAGGCATCAGAGCTTCTGTGAATGCTTCCCAGGTAAACTTTTTGACTCTGTGAGGAGACCTGCCCTTTTTGAACTTCTGCACTAGCCTATATGCAATAATATTTGTCAGACCTCTAATACAAGGAATAATGCTGTACTTTGAGAGCACTGTGGTAAGTGAATACTGTGAGACAGTTTAGATTGGAAGGATCACACTTCCTCACTGATGTACTTAGACTTTAATGTGTTTGGTAGCTAACAAGTTGAAGAGCATAAATGTTAACTTTTTTTAGTAATTTTTTTCTAGTCTATCACAAAGTGCAAATGACATTTGTAAGTTATCTATGTTGAGCTCTGATCTTGTAAATATTCTTGAGTAATATTCTTTCTCAAAAAATACCTCAAACCAGTGAACATACTGATGTGACTTGAGTGAACTGGCTCAGGTAAATAAGGTGGAGGGGGAAATTCATCAAGACTTCACTTCAACGGTAGTTCCATTGGTCTGTGTTGATCATTGCAGGCTGAGGACCTCTCAGGAAAGCCTAGATTGAAGTGTTTCTCAGGTCCTACCCTTGAGTGTGGCTGATGTCAAAGTTGCCTGTCCCTGCATGACATGAGTATTTCATTCACTCAATCAATTCACCTTTAGAGAAAAGTTTCTGTTCTTGATAGCTGTACTTCAAAATTGATGAAGAAACACATAAAAATCACTTAAGTGCATTAAGTGCAATTTCAGAGCATTTGGATTATATTTGTAAAAGAGCTTTCTCTGAATATGATGCATGTAAGCCAGTATACTGGTCTTAAAAATTAAAAGCAAGATGCACAATTTTTTTTGTCTACTGTGAGCCTGAAGTCCTTAACTTAGTGTTTCTGCAATGTGGTGGCTGTTCTCAATACCAATAAGCCTGTTGCAGAGGTTTAGAAAGTTGTAATGACAAGTCCTTGAACTGTTGTAGGGTATGCCCTCTCTGTAATTCTTCTGTGGTGTTGGAGGAAGTTGTATATACTATAGCCATGGAAAGAGTTGCAGATGTTTGTAATCCAAATGAAAGCTATGTAGTCTGCTTTTATATTGAAAAGTAATTCTGCTTTGCATTGGCAGAAGAAGCATTCATCTACTTCGACTTTGTATTTCAGACAACAGTGCAGTGTTCGGTCATCCTGCCAAAACAGTAACAACCTTGATGAACCTTGAAGTTTGGGTGCTCACAAGGAAAAGTGGATCACTTTTGAACTTCCAGAGGCTATAATATCTTCAAAAATTGTTACAAGCATAAAAGAATGGAGTAAACGTTGACCCACAATAATGTATAAGACAGCTTTTATAATCTTTATCATGCTTGATAATGTGTAAGATGGCAAAAGTTAGACTTTGAGCATGTTTTAAACTAGGAATAGCTTTACTGTCAAGCTGGATCATACAGTGGCTGAAGAAAGAAGTCAGTAGCAAACTGTCATCTGCTATTCAGTGATACCTTTTAGATGATGGAAGAAAGGAAAGGCTAGGTAATACTGTGATGCAGTTTCATAAAATAAGATCTAAGAAAGCAGATTCACAGATAGTATGTTTGCTTTCCTGTTTCTGCCTTGCATCTTTTCCTTCAACAAGGCAAATGTCACACTCCACTTCAGAAGCATACCAGAAAAACTAAACAGACAATTTCAAAATAAAATACTATTTTTATACATTATCCATATTTTTTATTTCAGTGATTTTATTTTTTTTAAAAAAAACAACGGTTTTTGTTTGTGTGCTAGAAGACATGGTTTAATAATTGTGGTGGTTCTTTCACAGTAGCAATTGTGTAATGAAGGAATGTTCTTATTAAAAAAATTTAGGTAATGCCTAAGCCAAATTTGTGCCTGAAGATGTACTTATGCGACTTACAGAATGGTACAGAAAAGTACTTTGCTGCCAATGTCCTGAACACTGTGCTGGCCTTTTGCTGCTTCATTGATCTGAACAACTCTGGTTTTGGTTTCTGGTTTAAGTGATGAATGTGCTCAAGTGCTTTGCATGTATGCATTTCAGTTTTTAATACAATTTGACTTGAAGAAAATAATCTGCTGCTTCCTGTCTAGTAAATAAAACAAATGAAACCTATGCTTCTCCAAACTGTGTGGAAATTTTTTTTTTTTATTTACCTCTAGTCGTTAGTGAATTTTGTTTATCTGATGAGGACTTTTGCCATTCATGGAACAGGTTGGTGGTGATAACTTGTAAACACCACTTCTATAAAGACCACTTTTCTAAAATATTGTGCAGCCTAGGACTTAAGGTTCTAAGTCCCTGATACAGTAGGGATTGCTGAGACAGAAGTGGATCAGAATTCAGTCCAAGCGAAGCAAGGGAAAGATCAGAAACATGAAAGTACGGCTTCTCACAGTAATGTAAAATAAAATTTAAAGGATTTTTTTTTTTAAAAGCAGGTATATGTTTTTTAGCTTGCTAGCGTTGTTCTGTTAGGTGCCCAGTCTCCTACTATGAAAGCCTTTAGATTTGGACATTCTCCCTAGCAAAACCGGTATAGGTGCATTTCAGATGCTGGGGAAAATAGCTTAACCAACTTTCCGTATTTCATAGTGGGTTTTTTTTTAAAGAACTTAGATTGCAGGAGCCAGAGCTTGATGCTTGGCAGGAAGAAGGCTACAGATCTAACATACCTTTTACTACCTTTAATATCTAGTGAAATCAGATGGCTGGCCTTAAAAATTGTTTTAATTGTTGTTATCTTTGCCCCCTAGACAGTTTTAGTGAAATGGATTGGAGCCATAAAGTTCGTATTTGTATGTTCTAAAAGTTGTTTCTGAGTTTCCATTTTCAATCACCATTGAGTTGGTTTTTTTAACATTCCATAGTGACATCTAAAGATAATTATGTTAATTTTCTTTTATATACTGAGTACTTACAATATCACAGTACAGTATGGCACAGAGCAAGTCCATAGGTAGTGAGTTTTGTTACACATTTCTGTTACAGATTCTTCATATGCAAGGTTAGATGATAACACTAGGTAAGGATAAGGAATTGACTGGATGACTGCATCCAAAGAGTTACAGTCAATAGCCCAATGTCCAAGTGGAAACCTGTAATAAGTGGGGTCCTGCAAGCGTCTGTACTGGGGCCAATACTATGTAATATCTTCATCAGTGACATAAAATAGTGGGATTGAGTTTGTGGATGACACCAAGTTGAGTGGTGTAGCTGGTACGCTGGAGGGAAGGGATGCCACCCAGAGCAACCTTGACAGGCTTGAGGAGTGGGCCCATGTGAATGTCATGCAGTTCAACAAGGCCAAGTGCAAAGTCCTGCACCCAGGTCAGAGCAATCTGCAGTATCAATACAGGTTGGAGGATGAAGGGATTGAGAGCAGCCCTGTGGAGAAGAACTTGGGGATACTAGTGTATGAAACATTGGACATGAGCCAGCAATGTGCACTCACAGCCCTGAAAGTCAACTGTATCCTGAACTGCATCAAGAGAAGTGTGGCCAGCAGGTTGAGGAAGGGGATTCTCCCGCTCTGCTTTACTCTGGTGAGACTCCACCTGAAGTACTGCATCCAGCTCTGGGGCTCCCAGCATGAGAAAGACATGGACCTGTTGGAGCGGGTACAGAGGAGGCCACAAAGATGATCAGGGGGCTGGAGCACCTCCCCTGTGAGGACAGGCTGGGAGAGTTGGGGTCGTTCAGCCCGGAGAAGAGAAGGCTCCAGGGAGACCTTATAGTGGCCTTCCAGTGCTTAAAGGGGACTTATAAAAAAGATGGTGGGAGACTTTTTACCAGGGCCTATTGTAATAGAACAAGGGACAGTGGTTTTAAATTGAAAGAGGATAGATTTAAATTGGATATGGTTTTTTAACATGAGGGTGGTGAGACAGGTAGCTCAGAGGTGGTGTGGATGCCCCCTCCCTCGAAGTGTTCAACATGAAGTTGGACAGGATTAACTTGGTCTAGTGGAAGGTGTCCCCGCCAGTGGTGGTGGGATTGGGCTAGATGAGTTTCAAAGGTCCCTTCCAACCCAAGCCATTCTATGATACCTATTTGCTCTGTCAACATAGGCTTGATATCTGAAGGTGTCTCATGCAGAATTACTGTAAAGTCAGTAACATGGTAGCATCATGTAGTGTGTTTTTGCAAAATTTAGCATACATTTTATACTCTTTGAAATGTGCTGAGAGATATTTTTTATCCAGTAGACTACATGACTGTCAAGAAAAGCATAGATAATGTTTAATTATATAAAGATAGGCCAAGTAACTGTGTTTAGTTGCCTTTCTAAACAGTCCTAAGAAACGTATCAAATTTACTGTAGGAAGTACTGCAGGTGTGATAGAGGACAAGAAGATACAAAGTTAATGTACTGCATTACTAAAACCAGGTAAAGTTTCTAGCAGAGAACAAAGGCCATTCTTAGACTTAGAATGTCCCTGGTTTTACAAGAGTGAGACAGTGTCATGCAGAGGACTTCACTGATGGAAATAACCTCTGTTCTGTTTGACTGTCTATTCATGGCAATTTGATTTTTTTACAATCATTATTTAGTCCATTTGCTGTGATAGATTTGCCTTCTTGTGAAGGCATTTGTGATGGACTGCCTTCTTCTGGTGCATAGTTTTGCACTGGTCCTGTATCATAACATCAGAATCAGTGTTAACAAATACTAGCTTGAGGTTCTTGGAAAATCCCACCTTGACCTGGTAAACAGCTTACCAGGATATAGGCTGCTAAACTGTTGCTGTTGCCTAGTTTTCAAACTCCAGACTGCCAAGTGAGTATCTCTCAAGTTTAACTGATGTCATTGCTCCTCTTGTGCTAAACATAACCTGTTACACAGTTAGCACTAGTTTTACACTGATATCTCTTCCACCAAATACTGTCTCTTACAAAAATGAACAAAGGTTTCAGATGGACCTTTCAGGTCCTGACTGGTTTCTATGTGTGTGTTTCCCAAACTATTACATTTTAAAGCCTTGTGTAAACATTGTCTGCTTCAACACAGGTACCTAATAGTGAGCACTGAAGCAAATGAAGTAGCATCCAGTAACTATGAATTGCAGGTCTTATCCAAGATGGATTAAAACTGTGTAAAGCCTAGTAAAATATTAGCTAATGAAATTTAACCTTACATTTTTAAACCTACGTCTCATTCTCCAGTGAACTGTCCTAAACTAATTCACTGATTTGTATGGCCTAAATGCTTTCAAGGCTTTGGGGGAAAAGTGATCACCCCTAGAGCTAGGACAAACTGCTGAAGAACAGATCAATCTCTCATGCTTCTGCGCAGGACTTGCCTTGGGGTAATAGAAAAATGCAGCTGGGAGACAGTGGGTATATTAAAAATAAATGCTGAAAGCTTAATTTTCTTCCACATATATACAGAGGGTGGACTGAATGAGAGTGTAAATAGCACAGGTGCACAAAGCAGGAGGCATGCCAGTATTAGCCAAGAAGTGGGAAATACAGAATCACTAACCAACTGATTGCTTGTAAAATATTCCACTGGCCTCCAAAGGAAATGCCAGAGCTTGGAACTACATGGAATGTCCAGATCCACGCAGACCATGAGCAGAAATGTCACTGCAGAGTAAGTTCAACATGCAAATAAGAAATTCAAGAGGAAGACATACACCCACTCAGAGGAGCTGTTGTCCAACTGTCCCTCTGGTGGCATTCATTAGGCATTCTGCTTCATCTTGGCGCATGAGTCACAGGCAACAGATCGTTTTCCGCTTTGACTGAAGACACTTCTGGATATGGACTCAATAACATTCAGACCCAAACAGCCCTTGTCTATATTCCAAGCCAGTGCCCCACACTTAATTGTATTATGAATGTTTGCTCTCTCTGATTGTGGAGTTGCTCTTGTGTCCCACCCTGATTCCCACTGATTGTTTGTGTGTTGTATTTTGCTTACCCCAACTTCTAAGACTTTTAAAATCCTTATCTCTTAGAGGAGGTTTCCATTCATCTTGCTCGGATCATCCTCCAGAGTGGGTGTTAACAATGTAATGTACTGATGCCAATGCAATGTTGCAAGTTTAAATATGGCACAAACTAGGCCATGAGGCAGGCCATTAGCTTTCTCCCTTTTCTATTTCCTCTAAATCATTCTGTGCAGCCTAACATTGATTTATCTTGCTAGGTTGAGTTTGCCCATTCATATCGCATTTTCACTTAGCTAACACTTCATGCTGTTTCATACTAACAACACTCAAAGCATCTCTCAGCATCAGCACAGGTGGCATGTGACATCAGAATTTAGTTTTTATGTTAGTATTCAAAACGGACCTGAGAGCAGTTGGGGTTCCCAGAACTGTAACCAGTGAGTATTTTGTTTATCGAAATCAGCTGACTATCAGTAAGGGGAGAAATTAATTCAAGAGGTGCTCAGCGTTGGGCGGGATCAGCCCTCTAAAACGGAAACTCTGGCTTAACTGTTTTAACGACTGCTTCCTCTCCCCACTGTCATTGCAGTACTGACTAAAGCAGGACAGTGCAAGGGAATTGAATTTAACATTTAATTACTCTTTTGCAAAAGTTTCCAATTGTTTATTTGGTCAATTGTCAGGTTCTCCACCAACTTTGCTATAAATTGGCTCAGCTGATTTGGGATGCAAAGCCATGGCTAGG